GCCTCTTGTTTTCAAGTATATTTTTCATTTAGATTTTTTAGATGGTATTTTGACATTTTAGCAGGTATATTCAAAACAAACTGTCTATCATATTAAATCATGTATATGATATTTGTGATTTAAATCAAAGTGATACAATGCATTTTGGGATGTTAAAAGCGAACTTGTGATTTTAATCAAAGTGATACAATGCATTTTGGGATGTTAAAAGTGAACTTCTGAAATAAGTGAATTATCTTGAGTTCAATTCAAGTGATACATGTGAGTGAACTATTGAAGTGATTTACTACATTAGAAATTCAAATTCTGTCTAGGATTGTGTATTCTTGGAAAAGTTCATTAATGGAGATGATATTTCAGCTAGAAGAAGCCAAGGATATCATCAATTAATTCTTCTAAAGCCTAAAAGGTGAAACCCAAGGCAGATACACCTCAGTATCTTCAAACATGGCCACAAGGATTTGCTAGTACAGTACATGTACTGGATCTTTCCTAAAATACCAAACTGAATCTGAAATTCAAACTGATGTTATAAAGCACTACACAGGATTACTACAATTTTAACATTCTCCAGATCATCAAAATTAGAAACAACCTATGAACTATGGCATTATGAAGTCCAGTGTCTTGCGAAAGAAAAGGTGTACAGAGAATACCAAATCCTTCAAGCCATTCCAAAATCAGTGAAGGAGAAGCTGCTAATGTTATCATGAGACTGGGTGTCCTAGAGCAACCACTGACACCATTATTCTCAAGATGAAACCTATTTGTTACCATATAAGTGGAAATTTTAGTGAGATGCAAATCTAGGGATTTCTCCTTAAAACTGGAATTTTATTTTTAGCAAGAATTAAGTAGTTTATGTGATTTTAAAATTCTCACTTAAGAAGCTATTACAAATAAAACACAGTTAATTTTTACTGATACTCAAGTTTAGCGATCTCAGCACCCTCGCTAATAATTAATGCCAAAATGAAATCCTCACTAAAACTTCTACTTAAACGATATGCCTTTGAAGAGGAGGGGGAGGCATATTGCTTTGCTGTGGTCTGTCTGTTGGTTGGTCAGTCAAACTGTCATTCCACATACATTTCTGTTTATTTTCTTTGAATAGATTGATTGATTGCATATTGTTTAACATCCCTCTTGAGAATTTTTCACTCATATGGAGACAGCACCATGTGCCAGTGGAGAGCTGCAAATTTTGTCCACTTGGAAGTGGAAAGAGAGGGTGGGGGAGAGAGGGAGCAGAGAGAGTGAAGGAGCAGGTGTGGGGAGAGAGAGGGAGTGTGGAGTGAGGGAGTGGGGAGATAGAGGAGTGTGGAGGGTGAGAGAAAGGGAGTGAGGAGGGGGAAATGGGGGAGAGTGAGGGAGTGGCAAGAGAGGGGGAGTGGCGAAGGAAAGAGAGAGTTGCAAGAGAGGCGTGGGGAGAATGAGGGAGGGGGAGAGAGAGAGGGTGTTGGGGAGAGTGAGGAAGTTGGGAGAGAGGGAATGGGGAGAGAAAGAGTGTGGGGAGACAGGGTGTGTGGAGAGTGAAGAAGGGGGAGAAAGAGGGAGTGGGGAGAGTGGAGGAGTGAGAGTGAGGGAGGGGGAATGGGGAGAGAGAGGGTGTGTGGAGAGTGAAGAAGGGGGAGAAAAGGGAGTGGGGAGAGTGGAGAAGAGAGAGTGAGGGAGTGGGAAGTGTGAGGGAGTGGGGAGAGTGAGGGAGTGGTAGAAAGTGGGGAGGGTGAGGGAGTGGAAAGAGAGGGTGTGTGGAGAGTGAGGGAGGGGGAGAGAGGAAGTGGGGAGAGTGAGGGAGTTGGGAGAGAGGGAGCAGTGAGGGAGTGGGGGAAAGTGGGGAGTGTGAAGGAGTGGAAAGAGAGGGTGTGTGGAGAGGGAGGGGGAGAAAGGGGGTGGGGAGAGGGAGGGAGCAGTGATGGAGTGTAGAGAGTGAGGGAGTGAAAAGAGAGGGTGGGTGGAGAGTGAGGGAGGGGGAGAGAGGGAGTGGGGAGAGTGAAAGAGCAGATGTGGGGGGAGTGGGGAAAGAGAGGGAGTGGGGAGATAGAGAAGTGTGGAGGGTGAGAGAAAGGTAGTGGGGAGAGTGAGAATGGGGGAGAGTAAGGGAGTGGCTAGAGAGAGGGAATGGTGAGGGAAAGAGAGAGGAGTAGCAAGAGAGGAAGTGGGGAGTATGAGAGAGTGGGCAGAGAGAGAGAGTGGGAGAGAGGATGTGTGGAGAGTGAAGAAGGGGGAGAAAGAGGGAGTGGGGAGAGTGAGGGAGGGTAGAGAGAGGGAGTGGGGAGAGAGAGAGTGGGGAAAGAGGGTGTGTGGAGAGTGAAGGAGCAAGAGTGAGGGAGTGGGTAGTGTAAGGGAGTGAGGGAGTGGGGAGGAGGAGGGAGTGGAAAGAGAGGGTGTGTGGAGAGTGAAGGAGGGGGAGAGAGGGAGTGGGGAGAGTGAAGACGCAGATGTGGGGAGAGATAGGGATTTGGGAAAGAGAGGGAGTGGAGAGTGAGGGAGTGGGGAGATAGAGGAGTGTGGAGCGTGAGAGAAAGGGAGTGGGGAGAATGAGGAGGGGGAAATGGGGGAGAGTCAGGGAGTGGCTAGAGAGGGAGTGGTGAGGGAAAGAGAGAGTTGTGAGAGAGGAGTGGCAAGAGAGAGGGACTGAGGAGTATGAGAGAGTGGGGAGAGAGGATGTGTGGAGAGTGAAGAAGGGGGAGAAAGAGGGAGTGGGGAGAGTGAAGGAGCAGCTGTGGGGAGAGTGAGGGAGTGGGGAGATTGATAGAGTTACGAGAGAGAGGTAGGGGGAGGGAGTGGGGAGAGAGGGAGCAGGGAGAGTGAGGGAGTGGGGAAAGAGAGGGAGTGGAGAGTGAGGGAGTAGGAAGATAAAGGAGTGGGGAGGGTGGGAGAGAGTGAGTGGGGTGAGTGAGGAGGGGGAGAGTAAGAGAGTGGCAAGAGAAAGAGAAAGTGGCAAGAGAGAGGGAGTGGTGAGAGAGAGGGAATGAGGAGGATGAGATAGTGGGGAGGTAGTTGAGGGAGTGCGGAGAGTGAGAAATTGGGGAGAGTGAGGGAGGGGGAGAGGGGAAAGAGAGGGAGTAGGGAGAGTGGGGGAGAATGAGAAAGAGTGGCGAGAGAGAGGGAGTGGGGATAGAGGGTGTGAAGAGAGTGAGGGAGGAGGGAGCATAGGGCCCCACCCTACCACCGGGGGTTATGATTTGAGCAAACTTGAATCTACACTACCTGAGAATGCTTCCATATAAATATAATAAATCATCGAATTGCTATTCTTGAGAAGATTTTCAAAGAATTTTTCCTATATATTTCTATGTAAAGTATTACAGACAGAATGTATAAACTACGACCTTGAACCTTGACCTTTTGATCTCAAAATCAATAGGGGTCTTCTTAAGGCCATATGGAGTTGTAATGTAAAATTTCATTGCAAATTTGCAAAGGATTCTCGAGATATTGGGTGAAAACGAAAGTGTTTAAAAAGACAGAATTTATTAATTTATGACCTTGTCCTTTGTCCGTTTGACCTCAAAATCAACAGGCAACTATAGCGTAAAGTTCTTCTTTACGATATAGGGTGTTGCTTTGCAAAATTTCATTGCAAAAGCTCAAAGGGTTCTCAAAGTATCGTGTGGAAATGAAAGCGTTACAGACAGACAGAAAGACGGACGGACAGACCCAAATTAATATCCCCAACTTTCAGTAGAAACAGGGGACAACAAATAAAGATAGATCTTACATGTACCATGCAATCAGAAGTTGTGTATGCCAAAGTACACATACTTTCAGCATTTAGGCTTTTGAAATCATTCAGAAAATATTCTTTACAAAACACTGAAACAATCGACAGTTTCAATTCAAACATTTTCAAATTTGTTTGTGAAATGTTTCAGGAATTTGCTACTAACAACAAATACGAACAACATGTATGTTTCTTGCAATGATCCAGCAAGCTAAACACAGCAATTGCTTCAGTGATTTCCGCAAGATTAAAGCTAGAGGCAATCATAGGCAAATGAGAAAATCCCCCCCTTCTGTATGCTATCTTTGACAAGGCTGGTGCCTTGATGAGCCTCAATTTCTTTCTACTTCTATAAGAGAAATCATTCCCCAAGATTTATAACTGATTACTGCTACAGTAGTATGTTGATTACTGATCATCCTATTCTGTTGTTTTTGGAGAAAAACCTTCATCTAGTAGCTCAATCTGTTTTATTTTATACTTGTTTTTTATAGATGACCCTTAAGGCCTAAAGTAAGTTGTACTTTTTAGGATGGAAGTAGTCAATCAACCAACTGAATCAAGCAATATTGATTGGTTGATATTCATATCCTTGTACGTCCCATTCGATAACTTTTCACTCATAGAGAGACATGACTACATGCCAGTGAAGGCTTCAAATTTAAACCTATACTCGACACTCAAGGCCATTAAGTAATGAAGGATCTTTATCGTGGCAACGTCTCCCGTGACACGGGGCCTCTTTGGTAAGGTCTAATCTGAAGGACCGACAGCAAATTGTCGAGTGCTACCTAGGTTTTATCGACTTAGGTCAGTCCCGGCGGAGATTCGAACTATTCTCCTTCTGATCATTGAGCGAGTGTTCTATCGACCTATCTGCTTTGACTGAATCAAGCACTTTAAAAAAAACATACAACAGAATATGAAAGCATGCAATTTTATTAGTAAAATAATAACTATCAACAGTCATTCTAAACATGCTTGCAGGTATTTTAAGAAAACCAACCATTTGGCATAAAATTATGAAAATTATATCTTTAAATAATAGCAAATATAAAAAGTATGCTCTTATATAAAAGGTTGGATCCCATATCATGGAAGCTTTAATTCCTAAGCCACATTAAATTATATAAATTATAAAGTCAAAAGTCTTTCCAAAACAAAAGTATCACAGAAAGTGTAATGAAAGACTGTGGTTATAATTCACTAAGATAATGTTCCTTCACTGAAGGTCAGCAATCTCCAACAGTATCCAGAAGTCTGTGTCATCCAATCAGAAGAAAGGTACAGATGCCACAAAGCAGTGAACGCCAGAAGTGACAAGAATCTCTGGTCCATAGAAACTGTCTGCTTCCAACAAAGTAAAACTGTCAGGTGACCAGTCATCTAGTAACAAGTCTGTATTAACCACAGGCCTGTAGTCCTCTGGGAGTGTCTGTAAAAAATATTGCAAAATGTCTTTAAATATAAGACAAAGTTTGAATCATGTATGTAAAGTGATTAACATATCAATATCACAATAGGACGAAATTGTATGCGAAAATTTACAAGTTCTTTGAAAGATAAGCAATTTCTGAAATACTTTCAGCAAAACATATTCATTTCAATTCTTATCAATGATTTTATGTCAGCAAAATGTGTAAGCCTTATCAATACCTTTTTGATAGACATGCCAGGCTCATTCCTGCACCCAGATTTCAATTGAGTACATCCCTCATTGGCCTTCTTGACAGTGTTATCAGACAAGGACTTATGCTGAATCTAAAATTGTAGAATAAGAATTTACACAATTTAATAGCCTTCATTCAAAATATTTAATATATTTTATTTTAACAAACAGTCAAGTTAGATTGATACCTTTTGTTCCAGTGCAGGCTGCTTGGATGGTACTGCAGTTCTTGATACAACATTTTGTGACGTCTCATTACTTCTAAGGCTTTGTGGCTCATTCTGGTTAATGGTGGAGTCCACAGAGTTCGGTATTGCTTTTTTGTCAGTAATACATTGTGTAGGAGTAGAATCAGCTCTATCCTTGATATCTTTTCCAGCAGTGGTCATTTGTTTGGGTGTGGAATCAAAACTTTTTTTGTTTTCATCACTTGATTCCACTTGACCCTTAAATTATCCAATATGTCAATTTAAACTGCGGCTTTTAAAATACTAAATTATTCTTTTAAATGACTTTTGATACCCAATCTGTAATGATTTTAGTTATTTTTTACCACACTTACCTGTTTTTGCTTGTTCAGGATCCTCATAATTCTGGCAACATATGGAGGATATTCCACTGGGTCTGTCTGAACTTTTGGTGGAACAACTATGCGTTTGACTCCCTTCAAGAAAATAAAAGATAAAGTCAAAATTTCAATACAACAAATTTTGTAAAAATTAATTAATTGACAAGGTAAATGCATTTATTTGACAATGTTTCACTTAAATTACCTTGTCGCCTTTGAGGGAAGAGGTTGAGGCAGAATTCTGAGTCTGGTGCAGAGTTGGTTCCATTTGTTTCCCTGTGGTCTGCTGCACTGATCTCACATCAATTTTAGCCAAACCTTTATTCCCTTTTGCCATATTTGAGCCGCTGTAAAGTACACATTTGTCAATATCAGCATTTGCATTTTGTCTTTTAGAGACATTTGCAGTAGTATTTTTCTTTGGCTTTTTGGTCTTGGTCTTTGTCTGTGCCTCCATTGGTGCCACAAATGTAGGGACACTCAGTGGTCTCAGACTCCATGTTTCCTGATTAAAAAAAAATGTACAATGTATTTCTTTGGTTGGAAATGTAATTGAATTATTACGTTTCCAACCAAACTTAAACACCAGTTAAGACAAAAAAAAGGTAAAACTTACAAGCTGATGCTGAGCTGCAGAACACCTCTGATGAAAATCAGCTGACAGTCCAGTTGTCGCCACTTTAGGTGTGGATGTCACCACATTTGCACCATTGTAGTAACAGTTACTACTTATTCCATTGATTGCTTGAGTTGGTATATGAACAGTCTGGTCATACACTCCTGTAACTGATGGAACACTGATGATGTTGGTAGGAACCTGTTGTCCTTTTACCATAACATATTCATTTGGCACAACAGTTGGAGTAGAGCCTTGAACATTAGTAGGTAAAATCTGTACATGAAACAGAAAACAACAAAGTTTTAATAACATTATTGTCCCCCGCTTTCGCGAAAGCGAGGGGACATTAAATCTCATTTGTCTGTCCGTCTGTCTGTCTGTCCATCCGTCACAAAAACTTTCACCTTGCCCATAACTTTTGATTTTGTGGAGCTATGACTTTTATATTTCATATGCGTATTTCTAATGACAAGACCTTTTTTGAATACCACCGAATTTGACCATGACCTTGAAGTTTGACCCACTTTTACACAAAAATACCAAACTTTTTTTTAGTTTGGCCATAACTTTTGAATGGTAGGTATATGGACTTTCATATTTCACATATGTATTCTTTGTGGCAAGACCTTTTATTGCATACCAACAGCTTTGACCTTGACCTTGGATGTTTCCATACTTATGAAAAAACTTTAACCTTGACCATAACTTTTGAATGGTAAGGGCATGTGCTTTCATACTTCATATATAATTCTTGTGAGAAGACCTTTCATTGAATACCAAGACTTTTGCCCCTCGGACCTTGACCTTGGAGTTTGACCTACTTTTCAAAAACTTTTGAACAGTTGATACCAGGACTTTCATCATATGTATTTCACATATGTATTTTTTGTGGCAAATCCTTTCATTTGATACCAACAATCTTGACCTTTTGACCTTGGAGATTTTTTGTACTTATGAGAAAACTTTAACCTTGACCATAACTTTTGAATGGTAAGGGCTAGGGCTTTCATACTTCACATATGTAATCCTTTTGAGAAGACTTTTCATTGGATACCAAGAATGTTAACCCTTTGACCTTGACCTTGGAGTTCAGTGATAATTTCTAAATAGATGACTTATGATAGGGCGTTCATATTAGACACAAAATGTCATAAAAAAAGACATATCACCCAAAAAGACACCGAAAGCAGGGGACCACAATTTTTTTTTCTTTATTCAATTAACAATTGGTGTTTCCATTTTTCAAGATGATGATGTGTTTTATTTTCATGAAGGAGGTAATATCAGTGAAAATGTTGAAATATGATAAACTAATTCAAAGAATTCATGTCTCCTGCTAAATGACCTAATAAGAGGGCTAAAGACCTAAACTGTAAGATGAAGACGGATAAAAGGAAGAAACAACCTTGACTTTTCACTTTTTGTCCTCAAATAGATTTCTTTTAATTTAGAGAATTTTCATCCTAGCTCCATCACAAAAATTTAAACAGAACAGAAGGCTGAACAAAGTAATCAAGATATCTTAAATACGTTTCTTTCAAAAGGAAAACATTAACTTACAAGTTGATTTGCAGAGATTGGTTGATGTTGCCCTGCATGTGACAAAGTCGGCGGGTGTAGAAATTGGACAGCAAAAGCATTCTGAGGTAAGGGGTGAAAGTTTCCCTGGCTGTTTAAGATCAGCTGCTGTACAGTAGACTGGTCATTGTAAATTTCTGTTGGCTTTTGCAGCACGATCTTCTGATGAGATTGCTGCTGATTGGAAACCCATGGTAGGGTCTGTCCACATCTCAGCTCATTTAAAGTCCGCTGTGGTTGTACATTTGTGAAATCAGTCTACAAGAGACGAAGAAATCCACAACTGTAATGTATAATAAACTACATGTAATGTAGGCATCCTCACAAATTTACACCCCCACCCCCCAACAGTCATTACCCTGTGACAAAGAATTTCCCTAAATGAATTAAAGTAAAGATAGCTATACACCTTAGATCATAATCAGGTAAGTTAGAACTTTTGTTATCTTATGAACTTGATGGGACCAAGGAAAAGCTTCAAGATAACCACAGATTTGAGATAGAGAGGGTTAAATACTAAAATGGTTGGGAGTTGGAGTTGGGAATGGTTGACAGTTATGAACATTTTTTTTCTTTTAATGACCTTGAACTTTGTATAACAACCTTGGGTTGTGGTCAGTACACATGTCTGCGTTATAAGCAATCTTTATATTAAAAAAACCTTTCAGTTTCGAGATAAAACTAGAGGTACTGTGAGCACTGAGATCACTACATGATACCCCCGCCTCCCATATGATAACAATGGCTTGTGTAGCTCTGAGAGACCTAAAATACATGTAAGAGATGCGAAATTGCATTATGTAATAAAGAATCCGTTAAAGTATGATTCATATTAAATTTCATTCAGTGGTATTGGAGGAGCTGAGAATAAGAGATTGGTACCCTTCAATATTCTGGAAAAAATACCAGTTTGGGCTTTGCTAAACTAAACCCAAAGTAAAAGTAAAATAAGAGGTGCATAATGACACTATATTGTATATACTAAAATCAAAGACTGTGAAAGTCTTAAATTTCATGAAAAGGTATAGGGATTTAAAAAAAATGAGTACCCCGAAGCGTAACGGACGGATGGACATATATATGTACAGCTAGACGGACAGAAGCACCAGACGGATAGACAGACGGACATCCGGATTGCTATGTATTCTCCCACTTTTCAAGCCGAGTGTACTATACAGGGAATTAATTAATATATAATTTTCTAAATAAGACATTACTAGTTAAACCCACAATTTTCTTTGCATGACCTTGAACTTTGAAGAATTTACTCATTTTTCCTCCAAGTGACCTTGAACTTGAATAACTGACCTTGAATAAGCTATGACATATCAAAAGGTTACATGCAATCGTTGTTTCAATTATGAACTTCCAATTATCTCAATTAAAATGGTAATGCTAAGACATGTACTGATAGAGAGACAGGCAAAAATTGGACAATTGTGATTCCTACATGTATATACCCACACATCTAACCTCTCTTTGAAGTAACGTAAGATAAACTGTCAAAGTGAAGAAAGAGTTTATAACATATAAATGCATTTACCTAAACTTTTTCAGCATACCTGTTGTTGTATCCTTGCCCCTGGTTGAGAAGGATACACGGTGACATCAGGGTTCACTGTCTCAGTGCTGGTGACTGAGCGACCACTAGGAAGAACTGTGGATGTTATGAATTGTTGTATTTGCTCATTGCTCAACAGAGGTTTAGCCACCTGAAAATGCATATTTAAGCATACACATGAATACTAGTATATATTTAAAATCTTGAAATATTTTTTTCAGTATAAATTCAGACAAACAGAAGCAATTTAAGGACTGATTTTCTTGTAGCTTGGTAAAAACGGGAAGAGATTCCTTTGATTTGAACAGTTTTCAGGCACACAGTATCAGGTGGTCTGAACCCCCCCTTTTTGAAATTTTTTACATTTCCTTCTTTTTTATGTACAAGATACCCCCTCACCATTTTTTTGCTGCAGTTTTATCATGGTTAGGTGGTAATGTATGAATAAAATTTATCAATAAAAGAGTAGAAACCCACACCCTACCCCCCAAAGAAATAAAATTTTCGAGTTTGGACAATTTGATTTTTTTAAATTTCACTTGTCATAGATTTTTCTGGTAAATAGAATTTTTGTTTTTGCCCCCCCCCCACCTCTTTCAAAAATGATATACGTGCCTAGTTCTAAAAACAGAAATATATTGAATAGGTGGTCTAAAACATGTAAACGTTATATTTATAAATGACCACACTATTTGTTGGTACTTACTCCATTTTGCACCACTCCGTCAGCAGTACGAGTGGGTCCTGAGTTTTGAAAAAGTGCTTGATTGGTAGCCTGAATATAACGCTTTCTTGGTGGCTCAACCTGTAATTAAAAGAAGTAAATATTATATATATGTGTTTGCTTTTTGGCAAAATCAAATAAAAATTGGAAAAAACTTAAAGAATAGTGGAGAGTGAAAAAGATATGCTAGTGGATAAAATGTGCATAGACAGCCAGTAGAGAAGATAAAAGGATACTTCAGAGAAAGAAAAAGATTTGTAATGAAGATTTAATTTTTATATTAACTTACTTCTCCGCAATAATGTATATTACATTATAAAAGCAAAACTGAGACCTCCTCAATTTTCCCGGAAGTGGTGGGCGTGGTCAAGATGTCCACTCCCAGCCTCTCGTAAAGACTCGAGGCAGCTTCCGGGTTGACATACTGAACATCCACTCTCTTCTGAAATGTGAAAAAAAGTATTTTAGCAATATATGTAGTATTTTAACACTTCTAGAAAAAAGATTTTAGATCAGGAAACTTAGATGTGTTAAAGTAATCATTGTATAGTGAAGGGATTTTGCACGATTTTAAATAATTTTAAACTACATTGTAGTTAAAAACACATTACTAGATAACGATTAAAGTAAAATGAATCAAATTCACAAGACTGATAACATCTCAGGAGACGGTCATTTTGCATTTTTAAAGTTTTTGAAGAGTTATCTGCCCATGATGAAAAAAGGAATTTTTTTTATTTCTCAAAATTTCTGCGATAAATAATTCATTAATATTTAATAGTTTAATAAAGAGGTCACCGTAGTTTATGCATATTTTCACCAAGAGATTTGTGTGAAATTAAAATTATTTTTTTTTTTTACAATATCTGATAAAAACATTCGCTGCCCATATAGACTTCAATGTAAAATTTAAGGTGAAATTAATTGGACAATGATCAAAATTTTGTAAATTCCTTTGGTGGAACACCTTTATTTGATAACATCTTCATAAAATGCACACTATGACTAAAAATATCGGACCATTCATTTATTAGGTACAAAAGAGTGGTACACAACTTTTCTCGTATATTTGATGAATATTTTATTTGGTTTGAACTAGTTCGAAATTTGTGTTGTTTTTCAGGCTTTCTTACATCATTTTTATATTCTACTTGCACTTGCCAGGAAAATCTGGCACGTAATATATCGTAATATATATCGTAATACCCGGGTATATCGAAATTTTAAGAAAGTCTGAAAAACGACAGATATTTCGGAGTAAGGTTCTACTTGTTTTGACCAGCTACATGTAACTTGCAAATGCAAACTAGCTAGTACTTAGCTATCTTCGCCTACAAGAAAAGGTATCCCCACATAATAATATTATCATAGAGCACCTAGCTACATGTAGATGTTGCCAATGCAGGCCCAAAATGTATACTTTTTAGTGCATTTATTGAAATATTGTGGGTTCATGAAAATACAAAAATAATACTTTTTGGTAAATCGAAGTGTTTGGAATCAATAAGATTAAATTATTCTTTGTAGATTTTATGAATAAAGATTCATGTAAAAATTTAGCTATAGCGCATGTAATCTACATTACGAAAACCTTTTTTCAGCTAATTTAAGACGAATTAATGACCTTTGTTTTATAAAAGGAAAACGTATACATGCATTTGATATGTTATACAGACTGATCTGAATGAGGCATGAAATTTATCTAAATAAGGATCTCTATGGTCTATACATTAGGGCAAAAGGTATTAATTTTGGACATTCATATATTGCATGAATTTCTTGTGTAGTAAATATCGAGCTTGGCTTTTTCATTATCAATATATTGGATACATGGCAATTACCCTCAGGAAAAATGAAGTATTGTTGAACATTAATCCATCTCTCTACTTATTTGTGGTATGTAAATGCAGAGAAGTGTTCAATTAATCAGTTTGGGATTTCAATTTATTCCTTTTTTTAATTTTTAACTTTTAGGTATGCAGTGTATGGATATTTCTATAATTTCAGTTTCTTGGAAATTAATTGTATAAAAATGCGACAGATCTAAGCTTGAATGTGTATGGAAATTATATGTTTTGAAATGGTAAAAGGGGGGCAATTCCTTTTGTATGAATTGAATTTGATACATATTCAGTGGATACATGTATTGTTTTATTCCTAGTCTGCTATGTATAAAGGCCAAACCGAATACTTTTATAGACGTGAATACAGCTATTCAAGACAGTTTATTATAAACAAAAAAATATTTTCTCAAAATTAATGAATGTAATATTAATTTTTCATTGATCAGAAATTAAAATGTTCAGAAAATTAATTCAAATTGAGCTGACTTCAGGTTTTATTAAGGTATTAAAATTCCTTGGCCCAATGTACACGACTCTTAACTTGCCTCCAGATTCAGATCTATATCAGTCTCCGAGATCTAAGCCTAGGCCTAATATTTGCCTAATCTTAAAACTTTTCGACATAAAATCGAACAAATATGGTCATTACCCTTTTATAGTTCTGACTGTACATTTCTGTAACTGTCTCGATCGTATGTTATCAAATATTTCTGAAAATCTTCGCTTAGCGAAAATCACTTCTTATCTCAACAAACTGATGCTGAAACAATGAGCTGTAACCAAAACACATCACACAGCCTAGCAATCGTGACGTCAACACAGGACGACAACCAATGAAATACAACATCACTCGGCAAACCTCGGCCGATTTGATAAAGTGACGGAATCAGCCGAGGTTTGCCAAATGCATATTTGCAATCGGAATTTCCTCGATCGTCGATAAAGAAGCATAGATAATTAAGAAGAGCTTAATAAATGTACTCGAACTCAAACGTTAAGATTACTGTTGCAGCAGGCGACGATCCTCCATATTTTTTTTTACACATCAGTTTCTTTTGCCAGTCTTCAAGCTTTTAACCTTGACTTCTGTCCCCTTTGTAAGTATGTGAACTATCTGATCTTGTAACAAAAAAAATTATAAAACAGATACCAAACAGATACATGCATCTGGACAGGGCTTACCGCTAACATAGGTCAGCATTTGGTCTATGCCTCTAGCAATCTACACTTTGATGCCCAGATAGGAAGGAAAATCACTGGTCAAGTTCCACTGTAGGCCTAGTCCTATTGAGTTATCCTTCTTGGTAAATTCAAAATATCAAAGGGGAATAACTCTTGAAACCTTGTGCTTTATTTCGTCTAACAAAATAATAATCGCACTCTGGTCGATGGGATATCAATCAGCCTCTAAATTTTACATTCTTTAAAGTAAATATCTCGATCTGCGAGCTGTTATTGTTATGTTTGTTTCTGTAAGAAACATCTTCATAAGTGCATACCCCCTTCTCCAAAAGTATAAAATAATTTTTTTTATAAAATATGTATTTTTGTGAACTATACATTAACGAAAAGCCAAAGAAAACACCGAATAACTAAAATACAATTTTAAAATTAAAAAAAAAATGCTTTTTACCCGTATTTACAAATACATTTTATAAAATGATGCAGTGCAGGACGAAAAGAAATTGACAAAATCTAAAATGAGAACTATAAAAAGTAGAAAAATACGATTAAAAAAGATAACTGTACAGACGAAAGGAATAATAATACATGTGTATAAAAATATATATAATATACAATTATCTTTCAAATAATAAAAATATTGAAAATACGTTCTTTTTCTGAAAATGATGAACTGTTTACATTGACACTGATGCACGCGTTAAACATTTAATGTTGCAGATTCTGAAACTTTTATTTTTGGGATAACATAAGTTTTATTGTTAAGCTACATTAGGAATTGCATACATGTACATTTATGCTTGTTGTATAATGATTTTACATATCAGTATTCATTTTCATTTTTAGCTCTTGTACCCTTGTTAAATTTAATCAGATTGAAACTCCGAGTTAGAAATACCATATAAATCTTCAGTTATAAAATTAAGACTCTTCGGCAACTTTTCTTAAACTAAACCTCCGCTGATTTTAATTTTAAAAAAGTTAACATTATGAAATATATGACACAAAAGATATATATTTAATTTTTAGTAAAATTTATATTCAACTGTGTTTACTTTCATTTCATTTTAATTCATGCATGCCTTTTTGTAACAGTCGCCGTAGGGCGTAATTAGAATGAACTACAATGTAGTTCATTTAACATTTGCCTTTAAAATAAGGTTAAAGGTGACATGTGCCGTTCCACACCAAAGAGTTACTTTCCTTGACCCCTGTTAATCTTTAATGATGAATGACAGTTCATAATGAGGATCAAGTTTGAAGTGAAACTAAACGATCAGAATGTGACAAATGAATATTTCCACGAAACTTCATTTATCAATGAAAATAAGCCCTTTTTAGATTTTAAAGACTCTCTACCCTCTGCGTTTTATAAATTATGAATTAGAAGTTGCATTAATATTTCTTTGCCGA